ACCCGTCCCGCATCTCTGCTCGGTGTTCAATGTGTTACACCCGTCCCGCATCTCTGCTCCGTGTTCAATGTGTTACACCCGTCCCGCATCTCTGCTCCGTGTTCGATGTGTTACACCCGTCCCGCATCTCTGCTCCGTGTTCAATGTGTTACACCCGTCCCGCATCTCTGCTCCGTGTTCAGTACAATGTGTTCAAACACCACAGGGTGGTGTAACTGATGAAAGGATCCAAAATGCAGCTGGAAAGTCACTGCATATCCAAGTTCTCTGCTCACTGCCTGTAAGGTCTGTAGCTTTTCTTGTCTATGTGCTTAGTAACTCCAGCTGCTGCCTGGAAATCCATCACCTACCAACACCGAATTCTATCATCAGAAGAGAAACTCTCTAGTCTGCTGAAAAAATAGGAACATACCAGCAACATGCAGAGGTGGCAACTGAAGCCTCAAAACAATTTTGTAAATATCCCTGTTGTGCCTCTTCCCATCCTCTTGCTCGCAGGTCACTTTGTTACCCGACATCTAGGCTTCCAACAACTTTAAGATTAAACACCTCACTTGAAAAACCCCTATCCATTCATTTAGCACTCACTAGGCAGTACATTAGCAGGCGTTGAATACGTTTAATTGGGATTAGCAGACCTCTAAGGACAATGCCCTTCATCTTCTTTCAAGTGCTGAGCAAAACTCTGCCAGAGCTGCTCTACTCTCCATTAACAACTTTAAGRTTATGCTTACAAGGCCACCCAAGGCTGCACAACCATACATATGTCAACATACAGTGACAGGTAATCCTGAGTCTGGCAGGCCCCCAGTTTAAGAACCACGTCTGTGCACTTGTATCTTAAGTATATACACACACTAATGATAATAGAGACTACCTGATGTAATTTGTAAAAGTAATTCTTTGAAGAATGATGCTGTCTCAGTCCTTCTTTCTTAAATTGAAATGCCAAGGATTTAGATGCACAATGTGTGTTTATATACTTATGTGCATATAAAAACAATAAATGTATTCTCCATAATAAAGCAACTTCTGAACCTCTTCACTAACTACACCTCAGCAGTCACCTAAGAACACCACATTCTGTCCAAAGTGGATACCAACTCTAATGCAACACAACTGACTCTACAGTGAACTCTGGAGCTGCTTTCTGAGCCTGCCATACCACCTCCTAGCATGTTCTGGTAACCTTTCAGATGCTGATTTAAGTGTGAGACCATAAGCTGGAAATTCAGCCATAGATTCTCCTGAAGGCATGCAAAGATGACCATCTTACATTTCCTCTGCCCACATGCCTGAGGGTATGAAGACAGAAGAGATGTTCAGTTACTCAAGACTAAATAGGCTTAGGATCATTACTGCATTTGGGAAATACATGCCTCAGAAATATTTGCTCTCTATCTATTCACCACTGAAACAGAAGAAATCACAGAAAAAATGGAAGACAAAGCAGGGCTGCCACAGAATAGAAACTGAGCAAGTTTTCCAGCACCTGGACATGCAGCTGGAGACTTAATTCCTGCAAACACGCAGTTAGGAAGCCTGAACTTTGTTCATTTGGGTCCCTTTGAGAATGCCCATCACCCTGATTGCTCTGGATGAGGTATTTTACAAAGGGGACCCTCAAAAAGAATCAGAGATGTGCTGTTTCCTGGGGAAAGTGCTCTATCCCTTGTCAGGCAGGGTAGGACAATTAGAACAGGGTAACTCATTAGTACATACGGGCTAAGTTATGGCCCATCATGATTCTAACAACAGCCAACAAATCCCCAACTAGTCATATTGCACATTTCTGTCAGAAAAGGGGGTTTATACAGGCACATGGGAAGCACGTCTTTTGCTCAAAATAAGAAAATTCTGATTAAAAAAACTTTCACGTACCAAAATAATCACACAACATCCTTTTGGGTTTGACTCTAAACTTACATGTAGATTTTATTCCTACACTGCCATCTGAAATCACACTACTCGAGGCACTTGTAAAATCAAGACACTTCAGCTCTCAAGGTCATAGCAAAGACCTTCTTCAAAGGAATGTAGTACAYGTGACTACAATATACCTTCCCTCACATTTAAATATAACAGCATAGTAAAAACAGTTTCTCTGCTCCAAGCTGAGAGATTACAAGTTTGAGAAGTACAGGACAGCGTAATTTTAGCACAAAATAATGTAATTCTTTTCATTTCCCTTGGCACTAGTGTTTCTTATTTTTCATGCTGCAGCACAGAATGCCAGTATCCACACAGCACAAAAACTTGCATGGCTAAAACTGGTRTGCAAAGCACTGAGGAGTCCTGGCAGTACAGGAGCAATACATCTCAAATGCACTGCCCGTAATAGGTTAATTATTGCTTTTCTTCCCAGTAACAACAACAACAGAAGAGAACTCCTTCCTAGAGCTGGAGAYTTACTCTAGCAGTGACTACTAAATATACCCAATAAAGAAGCCAATTTTTGAACAATTTTCAAAGTTGGCCTAAAAATAAATCATACTAACAATTAGTCTAAAGAAAGACCAGAGATCTCTGCACTACTGGAGATATGCAAAACACTTACAGAGACTCCTTTGCAAAAATGTAGAACACTTTTGTGATGGCAACTGAAGTACAAACTTCTTTTCAGACATAAGGACTTAGTGAATAGGAGTAGACTGCAATACTTCAATTACCTGTTAGCACTTGCACAGTTTCAGAATGCATATACAATGATGCTGACTGTAGTAAATTAATTATTTATTTATTTACCTGTTAGTGTCRAGGCCACAGTTGTGTGAGGCAGTGCACAAGCATCTTGGCCCAAAAAAGCTTGCAAACCACCTGTGTGTTAACACAGTCACTGTATTTCAACCCTTCTACCTCTGACAATACCCTTTCATGGGGCAGCCTTGACTGGTGTGATCAGCTATCAGCAGAGTTAATACTGAACTGTGCTCAGCCTCYAGATCCACAGCTGGGATACAAGCCTCCCACTTCATTCCCAGCTGAGGTTACCTGAGATGTGCCCTAAATTTCATTCCTCACTGGTCAAATACTCCTTTTAAACTGAGAGATCGTGGTAAAGGAGAGAAGAGAGTTTCTTACCTCTTGTGCAGTAAGTGCATGTTCCCCTGCTAGAAGCAGCATACTCAGGCCTCCCATTTGTGTAGGATCTGTTAAAAGAGTAAAACCAAGTATTAAGTTGATTCATTTGCTTGTTTAAAAAACCTACCACTTGCACCACTAAAGCCCCAGAAGACTACTTGTCACAGACACTCTCAGCAAGCTGCCATAAAAGGCAGTTCAAGAGAATCACAAATAACCATTTCTGTACCCTCTGGGAAGGCTTTCAAAGCTGTTTGAAGGATTTAATTGGATTTGTGTGCTTAACACCCCATTGCATGGATTTACAATTTTACTGCCAAAGGTTTTATGTACTACAGAGATGAATATCTTTAAAACAGCAACTGTAATGATCTCATACATAAACATACACAAAGAGGCTCTAATAATGCACAGGTGTATAAATCSGTGGATGCTCCTACCAAGGGAGTGGCTCTTTCCTTAGCCACTGAACAAATAAAAGGRTGGAACAAAACAACATGATCAAGCTTGGAAGCAAAATTTCTGTTTTCATTTATCTCTAATTTAGAGCTGTATTTAGTGGTGAGAAGTGCCAGCCTGACAGCTCTGAAGCATCAAGCCAGAACAGCACAGGCACTGGCCAGGCAAGCTGCCTGCCTACTTGTTGCCCTGCCAATACAATATATAATTGAGGGAAGTAAAATGAAGATATAAATGTTCTTTCTCCAAGTATTTGATACTGACAGCTTTCCCCCTCCAGCCTTCCTGCACCTCAGGAACTCCAAAAATGACAAGAAGTGGCATCACATTACTCATGGTRTAGTTCTTCCACTCAGAACAGCAGTTGCTCTTCATCACTATGAAGACTGATTTTGGGGGAATGCCTTAGAAGCAATGCAGGGGCAGGATTTAAGTGTCATGTAGAAAGAGAGAGACAGAGAGTGGCCAGATGTCTCACRCAATTGCCACAATATGAGTGGAGTTTTTTGATCTTTTCTGCTGACATGGGCCGAACCTGAAACTGTAAACCCCCAAATCATTCAGTGCTATAGATGATTAAGGACCAATTAATGGGAATACTGTTTAATTCAATGCCACAGAYGCTGCCCAAAGTTTTCCTGCAGACAGCATCTCTCACTGACACTCACAAAGGTAAGTTTGTTAAATAATTTTCATTTAGAAAAGCATTAAATAGACGCAGAGGAGAACAATGTAAATAAACCAAGCTCACTCACTACCTCATGGATAGAAGAGTGGCTTATTATTAAACAGCACTAAACAGATATCCTAAAKAGCACCTAGCTTCAAACCCAATATTCAACTCGAATTAACTTTTTCCTTCACCATAATAAACACGTAGAAGGCATTGGGGGGAGGCTGTGTTTTTTTAAAAGAAATTAGAAGTTTTTATTTTTAAATAAGAAAGGAAAAAATTATAGCACACTTCTRTGAAGAGACAAGGCACTATCAAAAGTCTAGGACCTAATCATGAGAAAATGTGAAGGGCCAGTAAGTATCTAAGCACAATTACATATATGTAAATGATCCTGTCAGCATAGCACTTTTTGCCATCCAAGTAGTTGATCAGAAACTGTTCAGTCCTTSAAAGCAGAGGCCATCAGAGCAATTAGAAAGTGAAAAGTGAGCATGTATCATGAAAGATAATGCCCGAGATCTCCAGGGCCACCAAAAACTTACTGAGCCCCTTATTAAACAATAAGCCCTTGGCTGGCTGCTTTCTACGTTATTTACTTCAGAAAGCTTTGGCAGGATCCAAATCTTGTAAGCATTAAGGGCTTTCTTCCAGTTTTTCGCTTAAATATACTCAGAGGCCAGGCAGTACATGTTTTTTTTTCTGGTACACACATCTTTAAGATCAGTAACTGTTTCCCTAAACGGTATCTCCCTTTTCTGCATTTACAGACTTGTCCCTGCTCTTCTTCCACTTGTTTTCCTGGTCAAAACAATTCAAGCACACCCATCTCCCATCATTCCAGCAACAACAATAGCTCTCCTGTGCAGTTATCCCAGGTGGAGTTCCTCTTTGTTGAATATGGACAAGCAGCAGGGCAACCACATCAGATGAGGGGGGTCCTGAAAACACTTTGCCTGACAAACTGCATTACAGCACTTTCTTATACCCACATCACACTGATGACTCCCAGCTGCTCTTCTGGGCTTTATTTTAGTTACCTGTTGCTCCTTTTTCCCCTCCCCAGTCTTAGGCATCTCAAGAACATCCTGCTTATGAGTGTAAAATTCTTGCCCCTCTTCTAAGTATCTTCTTGGTAGTTTTGCCTTTCTGCCTTTTAAATAAGTAGGTTATCATAGGAAGACAAAGGCAGAAGTGGGGTTTAGTGTTTTTCTCCCCAAGTAAGCAAATACTTAAACTGTTTGTTAAAATATAAAAAGTAAGAGGAAGGAAAAAATGACAGATAAATGGAAAATAGAAGTTTAATGTGATGCTTGAACAACTTATGTGCAGATGTAGCAGAGGGTTGGTGCTTAGGTGTCTGTCTGCTCTTGATAAAAACAAAAATCCTTCYAGTAAAGTTTCCAATTATACAGTAACTTCACCTAAGGGAAGACAAAATGTATATATCCAAACCCTGCYATATGCTTATAGTGCCTTCTCAGCACAACAGTGTTTCTTTTCTGGCACTGGGAGCTTACTGTTATGAAGAAGAATTTTAAGGGGTATTTTACTGCATTTATTCTTAAATCAATAGTACTGAGAAAATGGCACACACATTTGACTTGCAGAATTCWAAGGAAGGCAATTCGTGACTTTCTYACCAGCTTTTAATATTGATGAAACTTAAAACCATCTCTCTGGAAAAGACATACTTTGTTAGTACTGGGATGGTTACAGACTCGGCAGGCTGGCTTGTTCATCATCACCATTTCTCAGTCAGAGGAAACAACAAATTGAGGAAGTGCTAAGCAGGAAGAAGGCCAGCAGGAACCAGCTTCAACCAACTTTTACCTGGGTGCATAACTAAGCTTTTTTCCAAATAAGAAAACCTGCATTTCTGTAGGGATATAGCCTACTCTAGAAGTGCCTTTCCTCCACTCCTTTGCCTCACTAAAAAGCATTTTGGCATGGATGGTTTTCTTCCGAAGCAAAAATATGCGAGTACTGAGAAACTGGCTCRTTTGTATGGCAAAGCTGTTGCAAACAGCAGTCATCTTTGCCCTACACCCCAGAACAGGTGAGCCAAGTCATGAGAAAAGCATGCTCAGAWACAGCTTCCAGGCTCAGTGATCAAAGACACCACTAGTGGGTCTGCGGGTCAGAACTCAATGCTGGTGCCACACCTCAGCTTCTTGACATAATGGTAGGTCAGGATGAGACTTCATCCTGTGGGATGGTTATTCTAGTAAAGCCAAAAAATAAAGAACAGATACAGCCTGTGTGGGACTTAGAGAAACAAAACAAGATCTTACTCTCTACATATTATATTTTACAAAATAGAATATAAAATACAAAAAGCAATCACGACATGATTAGCAATGACCAACAAATAAAACCGATTTCTTGGCATGATTCTGGAATCCTATGAACTCTGTCCTGAGGAAGCTACCTGCTTTGAAGATACAAGAGAGGCAGTGGCATTTCAAAGGTAAAAGTGTTTTGAGGTGATTCAGTCATATTTCAGGTCATCAGCAACTATACAGCCTGGATTTTAAAAGAGATTGCACTGAGGAAAAGTCTGAGAGTTGCACTGAACTATCATGTGAAGCCAAGCAGAAAGGAGCACAATAAACATATTTAGCACAAACTGGTATATAGTTCACAAAGCAGTAATCCATTTGGCATGACACACTTGTCATGATGGGGATGCTGCTAATATCTCTGTCAGAAGTTGTCATTATTTTATGAGCTATTCTTATGCCCRAGATATTGCCAGCCTTCACTGGCATGAGGGCTGGAGCAAGATCCTTATGAATTACTATGCCCATTGACTCAGTCTGCAGAGAAAAAAAATAAAAACTATCATATGTAGCATAAAAGGACCTTCTTCAAAAATGAATGGCTTTACAGATAGTCATAGATTAATTTCTAATTAATTCTTAATTTGTCTGTCTCTGACAGGTGCTGGTTGATTCAAGACCTCTGTATTCAAAAACTCTACTCTGGGATAGCACAGCAGGAGCAGTTGGGGATGSATGAGAGGTAGACTAAGACTTGKTCTTTGTGTTAAGTCAATAAATCCYTRAGAAGCATAGAAATGACTCCTCTGACAGCAAAAGCAGAATGGGCTGAAGGGGCTTGTGGTTTTTRGAACTGGTCTCCCATACACTGGAACTATGCAGCATGATAAACTTYTATTTTGATCACATTTCACAGTTCCTTAGGAGCCAGAAGGAATTTCATTACAGGAATTTTCATACCACTATACACTAAGGTATACATGCCTCTTTATCCCTTTTTATCCTTTTACACTCGTTCCATAAAACCATTTTCTACTCTCYAGCTCACAACCTCTCTAAGCAGAAAAGTCCTACCTGCTACACACCTGTCAGAAACCAGGTAGGATATGACAAAGTTTCTAATTTTATAAATACTGATGCATCTGAAACTTTAAATCAGAAAAAAAAAGGAAAAAAAAAGGAAAAAAAAAGGAAAAAAAAAGGAAAAAAAAATGGCAAGGGAAAATATTTTCTACCTTAACTGTTAGGTTCTTAAGCTGCCAGTATTTAACATTAATGTCTCTGTATTTCAAGGTCATTATTACAACAGTTCTGCTGTTTATGAATATCAGTGAAAGATTATCTGCTTTTTATCAGTTCAGGCACTCCACCTTCACTTCTTCACATTTTTTTTTCAAATGTTTAAAAGTTTAGAATTCGCTCCTCCAAGACATAATAGGCAAAAAAGCACATTTAAGTGAAATTAAAATTATGCTTCTCTTGACTTAAATRCAAAAAGTCAGTCCCACTGGTACATTAATCTATAAGAATATTAACATATCAAACTTCAGAGACACCCAGAAATTATTTTTGCAAATAGTAAATTACCAGAGTACAGCATTCTGACAGAGAAACAGAATGCACACAATCAGCACTTTCCTTTTTGACCAGAGAATGAAAGTCTCTAACAGCTGATAAGCTGGAATCAAAAATCAGTTAAACCTAGGCCCCAAATAGGGTATGAGGTAGGATACCCCATATCTGGACTTGACTCTTGAGAATAGATCATGTACCTTAGTACATTTTAAAAAGTTGTTACACAGGTTTAACCACAGTTTTGGCAATCTGGGACACTACCATGTGTAGCAAAGGAAACTGCTATCCCAGTTCAATTTCAATACCACATCCCTAAGCCAAATGAGGATGCWACAGCTGAGAAATGTGGATGGAAATCTCACCTGCCATCCCAAAGTTAAGTTGTGGCATTTCTTCACTTTTGGTKACTTTCCTTGGGCTCGGTAAGTCTTTTGCAGAGTCTGATGCAATGGCCCATAGCTTTTTCCTGCTYGTAACACTGGATGCCTGGGTTTTCACAGGTTTGTTGGTTGTGGGGCACCACTTGTACCCTGGGTTTGCTTTCATAAATGCATCCTTGTACTAGAAAAGAAAAGGAAAATTATCAGTTATCATGGTATACTATACACAGGGCAATAAAGCACACTGCATGCAAGAGGATTTAATACAGTAACTAATCCTTAAAATATCYTGATTTTTTAAAAGTTTAATCACATGCTTAGAGTCCAACTGCCAACACAATTTGCTACGAAGAAATATTAAGGTGAGTTGTATCTCAAAAAGTGGGGTTTCTCTTTCCTCTCCTGAGGGTCTATTACCCAGAGCAGGCTGAAATTCTGATCCTGCTGACTTCTCCCCAGTGCTTGTATGTTTATGCTATGAGACATGGATACTTGAATTCTTTTGCAGGTTTACTTTCTAGTTTGAATCAAATAAAAACATGTATTTAGCAATAAATGCAGCATAATGTCTTACCTTGCATTCATTCTTCTCTAATAGTTCTGTATTTTAGAATATTTGAGGATATGCTTTCCCAAACCAGGCACCAAAACCAAATTACAACCAGTAYAATGTCATATTCAGTATCCTGTGATACCCCATTGCAGTGCTCCTTCCAAAATGTACCATGCTGTATGGCTGCATAAAACAAACTGTGACCATTTAAAACATTCTTCGGCCTTGAGCACCCAGTACACATCTCAGTTGTTTGCTATGTTCTTGGTATGAGGCAGAAAAACAAAGCAAGCCAGACTACATATGGGGGATGGGGGGAAAGTCTGAATCCTATCGTTTGGAGGGTAGGGGAAAGGACCAGAATCTATTTTATTCACAAAATGAAACACCAGCCTTTTCCGAGAATCTTACTAACTATGTCAAACCAAGATTTTTGAATGCTAACAGTAACAGAAAGACCACATTTCAGTATTTAACATGTGTTGCTATGCAAGGTTGAGAACTGGCGAAATCAGAGGAACATGCCACACATTCCAGCTGCAGATGTTTGCCTAACAACTGATAGGGGTGCACAGCACTTGCTGCTGTGGGAGCCAACCCAGCAAGTACGAGGGCTCACTGCARGGAGAAGGAACCCAATACCCCTTCYTGAGYAGYTTTTGTGCCTGGAAGWACACGGCAGAGCAGATGCAGGAAGTTTGTTCTGTGAATGTTCCCACCCACACAGCTGTCACAGTCCCAGTCATGGCACAGAGAAGCACCTATGTTTCATGCACATGCATGCACAGAAACACAGGCAGAGAGGAAAAAAAAAAATCCCTTGGGCATCAAATACAGAAATAGCACTGAAATCCTTGYCTTCTTCTAGAGCCATTACAGAGTTTTCCCAGCTCAACACCCCCTGCYCTGTGGCAGGGTCACCGTTGCACGTGCATTGCTTTCTTTCATTTCTGTCTTCACCTAAAAGCTGGCACTTGCTACCTCCAGACCGTRGCACAGATAAAAATGTTTTGGTTTACAAGAAACACAGCACTGCCTGAACCCTGCTGTGGGAAGTCCTGTATTTATAGAAATGGCTATAAATAATAAAAATCTGCAGGGATCGCTGACCCACATACACGCTGAATTTTCTGAATAGGGTGTATGTATTAAATCTGCAAAGTAAGGACTGCAACACCTCGCTCCTTTTCCCTTTCCCTCAATTTGGTTTGGGAGCTCAGTACATCACAAAAATAGCCTGGTGGAGGGAAGGGAAAGGAAAGGGAGGGTAAGGGAAGAGAAGGAAAGGAAATACACATCGAAGCAGCTTTGCCTTCCATTGTTAAAGCCACAGCCCACTCACAAATCATGTTTCCAGCCTGCAGACTGAAAAGCACGGAGTTGCTAGCAACAAGCTACATAAGCTCCTCATATCAGCAATGCTGCCTGGAGTAATTGAATTATTCTACTGAGTAATTTGACAAGCCGACAGGCTGCCCATCAAATGAGAACCAGAATGCGTGCTATTTGTGAGACGAGGTTGCAATAAGCTTTTAATCAGTTTTCAACAAGAGCAATTCAAGTGAGCTGGTGTATTAATGTCTTTTTTTTCTCTGCAAAGMCAAGAAGTGAACATTAACTGCAGTTTCTGAAGGAAAGGGAGCCAACTGAGGGAAGACAACTCACTAGAACTGTTCAGTTTTAACACATAAAGAAAATTTTAAAAGCTAAACAATGGCCAAGAGGTACTTTTTATAAATGCATACAGTGGTCTGATCCAAATCTCCGAAAGCCTTTCATTACTGCTTTTTGTAACTACTAGACCGAGGCCTAAAACAAGTAAGATTTTGCTTACCAGCTGATGAGAAGATAACTTAAATGAGTTACCCAGTAACAAGACAAGGTCAAAGACAATAGTGGAGTTTACTGTTTTCCTCCCTTTGCCCAACTGTGCAGTACAGCAACTCAACACAGCTAGTCAAAGTAGATGTCTAAGATTGATTAAAAAAAACCYCAAAAYACAGGCAAACCAAACCAACCAAAGAAAACCACAAAAACCTCAACCCAAACAGTAAGTACTTAACCTGGAATGCAAAGACACCACCTTGCTTTCCACAACAAATGGCMGAGACTGCTCTGCAGGGTCATGTCCTGAAGTTCCATGTAAGATATGGAAGATGTGTTTGTGGGATTGGTCTGATGCCTTATTTCTGTTTTGTGGAAGCCTGGAGAATGTTGTGTTATGAAGCAAGACTGGTGCCACTTCAGAACTGAAGTTTAAACTCCCTGAGTTGCTTTCATCACCAAATAAAAAAAGATTTGCTTTCTCTAGTTGTKGTAGGAACAGCAGCTCACAGGTCTATTCCAGCTACACTTCAGGGKAGCTGTTAGCACAGCTATGCATGCTATTTAATGTCACATAAATCCCACAGATATGACATTAAAAAAAATCCCCAGAACATACAACACTCCATTTTTCACTCCTGGAGGATGCAGAGTTGACGTTACGCTTTACAGTCCATACGTCAGCCAGTGGAYTTGCCAAACTCCAGCCAGCAAAGCRGGACCTTTGTCCCCTCCCATTCTGAGGCAGCTGCCAAAGCAGAGGCACCACAAGGCCAGCAAGCTCCCATTCTGGCTGACTGGACCTGCAACACCACTGGCCGAGGACCTGCAGGGAGAAGTGCTCAGCTCAGCTCACTGAATGGCAGCAGAATCACAGATCAGTGAGGCTGGAAAAGACCTGAGATCATCGAGTCCAACCTACAGACCCACACCACCGTGCCAGCTACACCATGGCACTCAGTGCCATGTCCAGTCTTTCCTTAAACACCTCCAGGGATGGTGACTCCACACCTCCWGGGGCAGTCCATGCCAATGTCTAATCACATTTATCAGGCTGCTCCCTACAGGAAACAATCCTGACAGTCTGGATCTTGCTGATGCAAAGATGTGTTTAAAAATGAAGTGTCTTCCAGGGAGGGAAAAGGRTTTAAACAATAACAATCTCAGCAGATACTTTTAAAGGCACCTGAACACTCCCAGTACGTTCTGTAAGAGTTAACAAAAGAACACTACCCTTATTACTGAGGTAAATAAAAATGCTGGTGCATATTTAGGAGTGGCCCAATTAATTTCCCCTCGGTGAAGGAAAATGCTACAAAGTGGCAGCAACACTTCTGATTCCTTTTGTTGTATTCATCAGCTACTGGGCTTATATCCTAGACAGTGAAACTTCCAMAGCTAAGTTGATCTAAGAAGTCTGCAGGATGGAAATAGAAAGCCTGCTTATAGAGGTAACACCAGCAGAAGCACACATCAAGTTCTGCACCTGCAGCACCAGGTCTCCAGGGCAGTTGTTGCTACAAGAGACCATAAACCACAAGACTGTAAATGGAGTGTGGGGCCAGTTTTTCCACCTAATAAAGGCACCCCAAGGTGCAGACAGGTATGCAATGGGATTTTCCAAAGTGCCTGAATGAACTACAGACCTGAACAGCCTCTCAGTGGGAGTCAGGGACCAATGTCCAGGCTACTAGGAAACCTCTCATAATTCCAGGCTGGCCCAAAGTTTGGATGCCTCMCTGTCTTCCAAAATGCTAGGCCCACCTGTATCTCTGAAGGAGTGATTTGGATGCTCAGGATACACAAGACTGTTTTAGGGACAGCAGGGTCCCCTGGGAAATGTGTGCCCTACCAGCACCATGGCTAGAGGTTGCACAGTGAAATATGGAAACCAAAGGACACTGAAAAGCTACATAAGGGAACAGAAGATTACTCACTACATCTTAAACCTCAGTGAGCTTATTCACATGCTCAAACAGAAGATCATTGGTAYAACAATATTTTTATTTTCTTCCAAAGGCATTCACCTTGATTTTTAAATAAATTCTTTTTAGGAGAAAGAAAAATACCAACAAGTGGTTCTCACTATAGTTGACGTTAGCCCCTTTTTGACAATGTCAGCACTAAGCCTGGCTACAGGTGAACCTGTGCAACCTGCTCTAGGTGAACCTCTTGAGCAGTGGGTTGGACTGGATGATCTCCAGAGGTCCCTKCCAGCCCCAACCATTCTGTGGTTGTGTGAAACGCAAGTGTTACAGTAAGACAACCAATAAACACACACAGAATAGGCTGCTCGGTGAAGAAAGCCCAAATATATTCAATAGCACATTACAGCTGCTAATTATTGCTGTAACATACACTGTTTAAAGAATAAAAATTATACAGTCTCTTCTACACATTCTTAGAACTACTTATAATGATGTAAACGACTGAGATTTATTGCTCCGCTTTGATGCTGAATATGCAATTTGTTCTTCATGTCAAAAAAAAACCCAAACAAACAAACCACTACAGGAACAATGATTTCTGCAACAATATGATTAATAGTTTCATTTCTGTCACTTCATAAAGAAGTTCTGCAATTATTTTCCTTCTTAATGAACAAGTTTCCTTCAGAAGGCAAAAGGCTTCTTGCAAAAGAAATACAGTTGCATCGGGTTTGTTTCTTTCAAAAATTATACCTTTATTCTCATCTTTCCTTTCTCTGATCTGTACTGAATCTTCTAATTGTCCTTTCCACACACGTTTAGAGCAATATCACTAATTCGTAAGCGGAAACGTGGAACAAAACTGGAATGGTTGGACAAAGCTGAGACTCACGTTTCAATACTGTGCCACAGATGAGGAACTACAGAGATACTACAGACCCTGCTTCAAACAGGACCTGCTACACTAAACACCTTGTTTTTCCTGTASACCTTTCCATGCTCACATGATCTAGTGAACAGACAGACCTTACATCGTGTTAACAGCAGCAGACACCTTCAGGTCATAGGGCAGGCGTGGGTTATGGTTTTCCCAACCGTTTCACACTTCCTATAGTGGGCTACAATTACTAACAAACGAGAGATGTTTTTTCCTTCTCACTGGTGTTCCATTATTTTTATTAAGACTGAATTMAAAGGTTACCCACAATCTGTATCACACAGTTAATCACAGGGATCTGTTTTAGGGTCATATTATTGGCCAAAGTAATTGGCTGTGTCTTTCTCACTCTACTGTCAATAATCATAGCCTTCCTGGTGACAGCTTATCATGAAAACTATTTCTTAAAAAGCCTAATTTAAAGTTGACATAAAGACACTTTGTGAGATACAGGTATAAATCTCCTTCACTTGCTCCCAATTAATGGACTCTGATTAGGCACTAACCTCTGATTTGAGTATTRGACTCATCACATCTCACTGTACCAAAAACTGCCTAATAGGGAATGTACTTCAAGAAACACTARTAATTTTTCAATTCTTAAAAAGGGACTACATTTCTTGAAAGTGCCTTTGGTTTGGTCCACCTGTATTACAGTGGCCGGCTTTATTGATATCAAATGCACAGCTAAATATCACTAGTCAGCTGACACTGAACTGTGTATTATTGTTTTCAATGGCCACTATCCTTATGTTAATGTGTGTACTGCAGAAATTATTAGGCAATACAACCACAAAGTGCRTATATTTATAGCAATGACTACTAGAGCCAGGTTCGTTTGTGTACACAGWCCAATTGCTTTTCATTCTGGTCCAAAGGATCAAGTCAATTAAAGCAAGAACAGCAGCTGCTCTGGGCACCATAATCCCACTGGTGAAGCTGAGAAACAGAGAGAAGAGAAGAATCCCACAAAAAACATTTAATACACAGAGAARAAGAAGACAAATACGTAATGAACTCCCTTTACATCCACCATTCAGACAGAACATACCTCCTTGGCCATGTCAGTGTATTTCTGTTTTTCTTTTGGATCTAGAACAGACCACCAATCTGCCAAGATCTTGGTTGCGCCACGATTATCGAGGCGAGGGTGTTCTTTCCGCACAAGAGAGCGGTGCCGTTTGCAGAACAAGAGAAATGCATTCATTGGTCGGCGAGCTCGTTGCTCTGAGGACTCGTCATCTTCAGTCTCATCAGCATCCTGCTCTAAACCATCAGGGCCAAGGAGCGGCACCTGGCAGAACCGAAAGGGAAGGGGTGTAAGCTCAGTTATCCGCGTTTTGCACCGCGACTGAGACCGTGTGCGCTGTGTGCGAGTGAGGGAGAGGCACGTGGATGCACACAGCTGCCTCCAAAGGCCATCCATTTCATCCAGAAGGTGCAGAGTTCTACATCAAAACTCCTCACCTGATTGTCCAAGGTACATTCATGCTCTCTGCAAGATTTAACTCCRACTTCCAAGTGGAACAATTTCTAAGCTGAGGACCATCCTCTACTAACAATGGGYTGAAGGGACATCATCTTCCTAAACACCTTCTGACAACCTAGAAATCATCTTAGTGGGATGAGGCAAGCAGAGCTACCTTGGACCTTGACTACTCGTGTTTGCAGTAACAGAGSACCCAGGGCAGAACAGGTAACAGCTGTTTCCCCATCTCCTGCTGTTCACTGCTCAGCCTGTGAGCAGCACAGCAGTGCAGCCACCACACAGCTGCCCAGCAGAGACAGAGGGCAAATCTCAACAGAATACGCTGCCAAAAAGTGCCCTCTCCACTTACAGGTCAGTTTATCATTCCTACAAGGGACGAGGTACAGAACTTATTGCATGAGACAGAAAACTACCTTCAACACAACTGTGATGCTGCTATTTCATACCACGCTGTGAAAGGAACCTGTAAGGTCAACAGAGAATSAGGCTCTTCCTGAGCAAAGCACTGTCAGAGAATCGGGCTCTCCCTTATCCTTGTCAAGGTCTCTCTTATCAGTGTGTGGCTCAGGGCTGTCTTCTCAGCTCTGACTTTTCCATTCCTGCTTTAGGAAGGCACCAAGGACATACAGATATGAGTGCTATCCACATGATGGAATCATCACATCTGCATAAACAATTCCCACTTCTTGTTACAGAGAATGAGTCTAACTGWGAAAGTGTGAGGTGCCACATGGTAGGGTCCTTATATAAAAGGGGTAAGGTCAGAGTCGTTGAACACCAAAATACCAAGTGTCAAAACAGAGACAGATTACTTCAGCTGTGCACTCAGTATTCTTGGAGGATAACTGAATTTCACATGCAAAGATAGCAAAAATTGTTGACAGCTTTTTGCTTCTTTTTCTCTTTTAATCTTTGTAGTTTTYTAATCTTTGAAAAGAATGAAAACTYGTAGTTTGGTATGCCCTTCAGAGCCACTAGAAGCAGATACAAAGCACAAGCCAACTTCATGTCTAAAATAAGCAATTAAAATAGCACATCAAAACCCACTTTGAGCAATCAAGACAAACATGCACAACCATTAAGAAAACAAGATAAAACTACTGCAGACTGATAAAATTTGTCCACTATTTTAAAGGCATGATTGACAATTSACTTTCTTGTGTCACTACCTGCCTTTACAGCCTTACAGGCACCGCATCATCATTTTTTGTTGGCTGTGTTTCTTCACAAAAGAGAACAAGATGACACAAACAAAAAACACAGCTAGGGAGAATCTGATCCACCATTAACCATCTATGGTCAAAGCATCCAATTAATCCTACCTTATCAATATCTTCCTCTTCTTCTTCCTCTTCTTCCTCTTCAGAGAAGTCAAGGAGTTTCTTGGCAAGGAGGGGATGCCACTGAAGACACTTCCTTTTTGGTCGCTTCCCAGTTCCTTCACCGTCTGTTGAATGATCCTTATTTCTACTACTGCCTTTCATTACTGTGACCTGTCATGCAAATATATTGGTAAGTTCACAACAAACCCTTAGGCAAAATGACCATCAAATTAGTGACAAATGTATGAGGCACTAATGCAAGACTCTCAAGTGGTTTCTGGCTAGATAATAGGTAGAGATTTATTCCACTTATCAACATAAGCATGGATGTATTTAATGCAATCTTAATACTCCACWTAATGCCTAGAGTAACTAGTAATACACATTTAAGAGCATGAAGTAAGGAAGCCAGCTATTCCAGCTCCCAAATATGCTCCTGCCTGAAGGAAGGCAGAGAAGTCATTCCTTAGCCCAAGTGAGAGACTCCACAGCTGTCCCACACCTGTACCTACTGCAACTTTTCATATTTTGCTACTGAAAATGTCAGTGTCAGGACATCCCTCTTTCTCACAGTGGAACCTAATGCCAGCCACTTATCAGTTAATCATGCACTTACATACAGCAATATTAATACAGAGCCCCAGGATACTATGAGTTAGGATTTCTCTGGTGCCTCTAAAAGGTGCAATAAGGAAATCTGATTCCCTAAAAGAAGTGAATTTTAATACATGAATCTGAAAGAACAACCAGAGTTATGCTGACACTTAGAGTACTTAGAGCACAGGAAACAAAAACCACATGCTGAAGCAAGTGCATGAGGAAGACAAATCATATTTACTTACACACCTAACTTGTGTGTGTGTCCTTATCTAAAAAATTCCTCAGAACTCAGCATGCCTCTTAGTAAGAATACATGCTTAACACATCCCAAGTACCATTTTAAGGACTGACTTAAGAGATGTGCTGCCCAACTAAGGGACAAATAAATGTATAAATAAATAAAACCAGCACATCACATCTTAGTACTGAAGGACACAGCATGCAAGTGCTGCTGGCACACAGTCTGGTCCCTTGCAGCCTTCTGTTAGTKTTGCATCAGTGGCAATCTTGACAGGAGCATGGCTAGCTTTCCAAGAAAACAACACAAACATCAAAACAAACTGAACCTGAAGAGTGGTTAGCCACATACATCTTTATAAAGCTAATAAAAATGGGTGAAGTCTTACAGGGGTTTCTCACAGCAGGATAAAGCAGAGGCACTAAACCCTGGTCCCACAGGCAAAGTCAGAAGAAGCAGTGCTGCTGACTCTCAGGGAAAGGACATGGAAATAGYCAAAGCTAGTAACTCCAAGGCCATTTTTAGGGTGCTACTTTCTGTAAGATGCCTGGTAAAATGCTGATGTTTCAGCCTACAGTGGCAGAAGGAAAAATTGCCACGCTTGCAYTTAGACCAGCTGCCCCAGCCATGGTGCAAACCATCTCACACAGCAAGTACAGCCCTGCACAGACCCTATATATCCCACCCATTTAGTGAGCACTAATTCTGGTTTGGGATGATCTCTTCCACRTGTTTCTTGTTGGTTAACTCGCTGGCATTTTGGCAATGTGCCCTTGTTTGCACCAGAAATGTGCACAAGCAGCTGCTTCCCGTGCASTCTCCAACAGTGCAGAAAGCTGAAGGACCTTCAGACACTGCTGGAGAACAACTGAAGGAAGTAGGTTCAGAATTTTAACCCACATTTTAAAATGGCATTTTGCTGGATGTACACTGAAGCTTGTTAGCTCCTCCCTACCTGTCAACTGTACCTGCCCCCCCCCCCCACTAGTTAAGGATGCCCTGTAACTTTGTAGCAGCTTCCTAATAATTGACAYACTTTGCTATCCCCAAAATGCTACTTCTACCTGGAAGACATTTAAACTTTGATTTCAGAGCATCAGCTCCTACGTTCATTTTCTGTAACCAACTCCTGTAGGTTACAGGGAATTTYATGCAGCACATAACCACACACCATTTCACCTAAATCTTTATCCATGACTTGCAAAGTAGATCCAAATACATGAACCACTTTGGCTTTAAAAAAAACCAAACAAAACAACATTGAAGTGCGGAAAATTAAGCCACTCAGTATCACAAAATGCATGTTTGAAATTGTTTTTATCTCACTGTGACCTCTGCTGCACTGTGCTCCCCATCTGTCACTCTTCCTAATGTGCTGAAGCACCATTTGCTTTTGTTTGGGGTATTTTCTGACACGAAACAACAAAGCTGAGTTAATGTTCAAGCAGGAACTTCCCGTGGGTAGCAGAGATTTGTTCAGAGATTGCTAAATGATACAGATCTGCCTATTACTGTGGTCAATAAAGCATGTGGCCTATTTCTGAGCAGGATAAATATGCTACAAGTACAATGGGGAGAGGTCCACCAGCCCTTACCACTCGTGTACGTGAGCTAATCTTACGGCTTATCTACAATCAGTCCTAAGTATGATGTGTACTACTGGTAGCTTTCTACCTTGTTAGTGGGAAACTAATTATTAATGTTTGAGAAGTGCTCCATGATCCTCCTTTACAAAGCTCAGCTGAAGTCTCAGGGCTATTTCAATAACAGCATTGTCTTTAGCTGGAACCTCTCTGCCTGCTGCCCTTGAATGGATGAGCAAGGAGAGACTTCCCAGGACTCAGGTGATCCCACAGTGTGTTTTACATGTGTCCCCCATCACCCCTGAGGTCTTGCCTATGCTCTATGCTGAGGTTGGTAAGGCAAAACAGAGCCAGGCACCAGTCACCTTGCAAACCCCAAAGGGGCTCTCAGTACCTTAAACCTCTTCACCACAGCTGAGCTCAAAAATAGATTTTGTTTTTCATGAATGGAATGGAATGGATGAAGGTTGGTTATTAAACACTCACCGCTAGAATAAATTAATCAAAGCTCATCAGACATTAATGCTAAAATAAAAATGTGTGCTCAGCTTCAGAAATTCAAGGGATGTTCATTAGGTTGTTTTTAAATTGTGAACCATTTTACAACAGAGTAAGTCAGATCCTGGCTGTCATACAAGCACCATTTACCACAGAAAAACACAAAAGCCACTCTTTGCTTCTGCTTTGGAGTGAATCTCTCACTCTTGTTTTGGTCTCTCTGTTGTTTTGGCCAACAACAAAAACCCTCCTGAATTTCATCCCACTGATGGAAGGACTGAGGTCACAGACTTCAAACTTTACTTTTACAGTATGGCCTCGAAGTCCCTCACTTCTTAAGTATGTCAAGCTATATACTCTATATCTGATGTTCTTTCAAATAAAATAGGGAGTCATTCATAACATGAACACGTAAAATTATTTCCTTCCCCTTAAGGGYGGGTCACACCCTATTCWTTAAYACTTTTGTGTTTCCWATTCCTTTTCTCCCATTTTCACTTATTCAGGTTCCCACAAGTTTTAACCCACATTTTAGAGACATTTTTTGGTATGCACTTTTTGCTGATGCTCCTCTTAGTCAAATATAGGATTGGCATAATATAAAATGTTCTAATTCTCTATTATAACACATGGGACTTTTCCTCTTAAAAATGGATGCCAACATAGCGTGGTAAACTTATTTGCTTTTGGACTGCTTCATCTTCTGTTTTACTACCYCCCTGCCTCCCTCCCCCTTTTTATGGGCRTTTGTGTCAAAACCARGACAGTCATAATTGTTGATATAYTCASATACTTGTATAATTATGAGAGAAACCCATAAAAAATCCAGGCAAATGCAAAATACAGCTAACATGGACACTTTCCTTGCTTTTGGCAAGATTTAGCAGAATACATGTATGATTAAATGACGGTGAAAGTTTTACTGGCATTATTTACTTCTTAAATAGCAAAACATCAATGGAATCCAGTTACCTGACTCTTAAGATTCTATTTATTTATCTGATTTTTTTTTTCCCTTGACACACTGTCAATAGCACATTGGCTGCTTGCTTTACATGAGAGACTGGAACCTGGCAGACAGAAGCAAACAAAAATACCAGCTCTTCTCTCACTTTTAGGGATCCCCAGGCAAGTAATCCTGGGGATTACTAGCAAGCTTTCAAATAAAGAGCTGGACTTGGACCCTACAAGAACTCAAGAACACATTTAAGCCTGGAAATAGAAAAGTTCCATAGGAAGTTACAGAACAACTCATGGGCAATATTTGTGAGATCTGGGCTTAAAAGCACAGAAGATACACAACACTCAAAGTGCAAAGCTTGCAATAACTAGAATTTATGAACTGTATCACAAAAAAAGGTAATTTTTTCTACAGATATTAGTAAAAGTATCATTTATCTTTTAAGGCAGATGTAATGGCTCTTACATGTTTGCAAGATTAAAAATCATTGAAACTAGGTAACAAGATTTTACAAGTTACTTCTCAGCTTAAGGATGACAAAAACGAAGTGACAGCCACTGGGGAGAAAGTAGGAATATTTCAACACGACAAAGGTATGGACAGCTTTGCTTAAAATAAGCCACATATGCTTTATAACATCACTAGAGGATACCTGTCAAGGCTGCCATTCATGATCCATTGACAGCAAGATACCTTCAGGGTGACATTCTACACCTACTTTTAGTGCATATACAGACCAAATGTTACAGAAATATTTAATGAGTACAAAAAAATATAAGAATTTTCTTTTGTATGTGTGTGCTGAYTGTCCTTCTGGTCCTGGAAACATTAATCAAAGAATCACAGTTTTCTTGAATGTCTTATAAATATGTACAGCTAATAGAGCTTCAGAGGAAAACAAAACAAGATTCCTTAAGAAAAGAACTGGATGATGGAGGGGRAGCAGGGGAGAAGACTGACTGTTTAGCTTTTTACTGCCTGTGCTTCTATTTCCATTACACAACTGTTTTCAAATCTTTGTTTTTGAAGTGTTCATTAACAACAAGCATTAGATTACATTTAGTAATGTTTTGTTTTTCTCCTATCTTCCTCTGTTATTTATAAAACCTTCAACACATAGGTGACCAACTTCAGCAGTACTAATTTTGGGACTTTCCCACCCCACTGCTGATCTGTAACTGCCAATGCTGCTTGTGCTACACTCAATAAACTAAATCCACTAACAACCAAAATCCTTACAAAGATCTTCAAAAGCAGCCAAGTGCTCTCTCTAAGGCACATGTTGTCATAC